AAAACGATCACCCAATGAAATGTTCCTGGCCCAAGGACTGGGAAGAAGCCAAAAAATATCTCAAGGATGTAGGCTATGAGGACGCTCATGAATACTTCATTTGTTTGAATGCGACACATAAGCAGCACTGGGACATCATGCAGTCTGCATCTGAAAAGTGTCGTTTCTGTGGAGAAGTAGGAACTATTTAACAATTATTCCACGAGGGCACGTTGGATATGAGATGATAGATAGCCAACGAGGCGCATAGCGCCGAGTTGGCTATAATCATTTCATATCCAACAAGCCCGAGTGGAATAATTGTTTTATTAACAACGCCCACAAAATCTCGTTGATTCGCCCCGACTCGAGCAAACCGGAAAAGACAAGGGACTTCCGCTATTCACATGTCACACGTCTATCAAAACTGTCAACGCGCGAACGGACTCGCCAAGACTGCATGAATGAAAAATCAAAACATTGTAGCGATGAACATTAGTTTTTTAAAAACTCATCGTGATTCTAGGATTTTACACAGCAAAACAGCTTAAAAAACCTGGCAGATAATGTGAAGGAAAGGAATTTTTAAGTGACAGCCGTCGAAATTACTATGACTTTGGATTTTCGGTGCAGTTATAAAAGTAAGAACAACGGAGAAAAACTACCGGTATTACCTCGGTCGCTTGTTATGAAGTTGTTTGAAGCCACAAGCTGGTTTTGCTGAACGAGAAAAGAAGCTATACTGCCGCCTCGATTGCTCTAGTGAATGGCTGCATAGCCTGTATTTGTAGCTGGTTACTTGTGATTTATATTCTTGATGTCGGATAAACAAGCTGCAGTTATCTATCGGCGAGTGACTCGATCGGCGAATGGCTTCGCGACCATGAAGAAACAACACTTGTCTTCTTTCGTAGCTGGTCAAGGTACTTTAGTTCCATGTGTTTTCATGTGTTTTTCCACAAACTTTCAAACAAGCTCTTGCGGCTTTTTTGTTTGTTTTTGTCTTTTTTCTTTCGTTGAAATTGCATTTCTAGTATTCTAAGAAATGAATTAAAACGATTTGCTTCGGGCGCCGTGCTATCCTTCGCGAAAAAAATCTCAGCTAGCTTCCAATTTTAAACTGACGCGTACACCGACCATATATGGAGAACATGGTATATTAGCTCATATACCATAACGGCTAAGCCAATCAAAATGCTAGAATTGCATTATCCAATGATTCAGTTTTTAATAATAAGTATTATTACCTTGGATTGCACAGCAAAGTTAAGCAGTGGACAGAGGACCCAGACATGTGTTCAAAGATGACAGCTCACTGGTCAGAGAAGGAACACTGGATAAATGGAAATGATGATGGCTGGAAGATCAAGAAGGAGGTCTGGGGTGGATCTAGATTTGCAGAACTGGCTTGGTTCTGGGACCCTGATAAAAGTTGGTGTTTGCCTGCAAGATGTGTCAGAGAGGGCTGCAAGAATGTTTTGAGTGCTGATGAAGTATTGCAAGCCACTGCTCGGCCCAATGGAAATAGAGAACTCTACTGTGAATGTTGCTGTACCAAATTTCTTCATCAACCTGTGTTTGTCAAAGGTGACCCAAGGAACATTGCATACATAGGTAACTTAAAGGTAGTTTATGATAAGCATGATATCAAATAATTATTATTTGATTAAAATAGTGCTACTTTAATTGTATCGTTCTTCCCCTGCAACAAAATAGTGAGTCACATCGTTTTTTCAACATCCATCTTTGTCAGTACATAAGACAACAACACTGTTACTCTACTTCTTCCATTGCAATAAAACTGTAATTTATTGTAGACTGATGCAAGACTTCCCATTGCATTTTCTTCAACACTGTTTATCCTTTTTGCTCCTTTATGTTGTACTTCAACTAAAACTATTCATTTGTCATTTATTCATTGTACACTGTATGCTTTTCGGGTCACTGGGATGGCTTTCAGCCATTTGGAAGGAAATCACGTGGTACTGGTAAGGTTAAATCTATTGGATCTATTCAAATCTTACAGTTAGTCAGTATCAATGGTTGAGGATACTCCGTAATTGAAAAGTATTGCATGTGCTGCATACAATAATTATTTTGTAACAAAGTGAATATTTTCTGAGCACCCAAGACACTGCATACAAATATGAGCAAACATTTGCAATTCTTCCCTGACTAACAATGCAACCTGTTTACTTACTTACAATTATGATAGGTGCAATAGATGTCTCAGTGGCAACAATGGCAAAGGAACAACGCTTACAGACAGGTGAAGTCTACACAGTTGGATTTGTGCCATCTTATGACCTGGCTGATGCACGGCCAAACTCCATTGACCCATTTCTTGAACCACTTGTCAGTGATATTGAAAATGGATTTATTGAAGGTAAACTAATAAATTTAGGTGTGGACATAAGCTATTTGTCACTGTGTGAATGAGTCAACAAAAGACATTTTTAATTATAATTACTATGACAAGGACACTTGTAGCTTTATACCATATTGTTATTTTAGGGCACTTTCCATTTGTCAGAACTGACCAGTCTGGCTGGTCAGTTTATAAACAAAACATACCAATTTGAAAGATGTGTTTTATCCTGGTTCCTTCCATTTCTTCAAAATAGAGCATATAATTTTGAGAGTTACAGTTTTGGAGCACTGTCCATACAAAATGACGCATTTAATTTACAGACTGGACTGTCTGGCTTACCGGTTGTGGCAAATGGAAGGCGCTCTCAGTCTCCTGGAATGCTATTGCTGGCACACCAAAAAGAAGACAGTGTTCACCAGTTTGAGTCCTAACACGTGTAGGGGTCAATGACATCATGCAACAATGTGAGCCAAGCTGTTGAGTGACATGTATTTATAACTTTTAGACCCCACCCTAGCACTTCTGACTAAAAATGTCATTTCATTATATGTTTTTAGGATACCAAGTCAATTATGCAGGATCACTTCCAAATTTTCCTCCTGCCAATATCACAATTCGGCACATTATACTGCTTTGGACAGGAGACCATCCTGCTCAGTGTGAGGTGTGGAAGACAAAGGGTGCTGGAGGAAGAAAAGGCTGCCGAAGATGTCATATATGTGGTAAGTGATGGAAGTTTTGGGCAGTGCAAATGCCGATGCCCATTTCTTTTCAGTCTACTTGACAGTATGTACTAGGTAATGTATTGTCTCAATTCCAAAGGGTAATGAAAGCACATGTTTGCTAACTTGAATAATACATTATTTCTTGGTTACTCCATTATATATAGGCACATGGCTGAGTGAACACAACCACAACTACTACCCAAACTTCAGGAAGCAATACAGATACCCTTATCAAAAGAGGTTGCTTGAGGAAGAATTGCCAATGATGAAGGCATTAGAAGAGGAAGAAAGACCTACCTATTTCCAAAGAATAAGCAAGGAAAATGGTCTGCTGGGGTTATCAGTGCTTCATAGGCTTTATCCTCTTTATGGATTTGATGTTCTCAGGGACTCAGTCTTTGATGCTATGCACCTGTTACCTCTCAATGTGGTCAAGAATAACATTGAGCGATGGATTTCTAAAGACTATTTTGCCAAAAAAGACCTTGACACCAACTTGGCAAAAATGCCATGGACCACAGGTACAGTACATGTAAATGAAATCATTCAAAACATAAATAAGTATTCAGATTGTTGACTTTTTACTGAAGTCAAGTCTAAAGCAAAACCTTTCTGTGCTGATTTTAATAAGCTGCTGTTGTTGTTTTCCATAACTTTACAGACCAAAGAGATCATGTGCTAGATTACAATATTCAGTAACAGCTAAATTGCCAGAATTTTCTTCCACGGTCAGTTTAGTCAGTTCTCGTTTTTTTTTTTTTTATGTTTACTTCTTGAAACAAAGTCATAATTTTTCAGAAACCTTATGCATAAATGATGATTAAATTAAAATATATTTCACTCATATGAGCTTGAAATGTATAATTCCTTTACAACTACTTCAATTGCTACAGCAATCAGACTTAGGTAACAGTATGATTCACTTAACACAATAATATTATTTTATAGATTATCGTGCATCCCGCCTTCCTTTGGATACTGATTCAATGGGTTACTGGACATGTAAGCTCATTTATTGGATTTCTATTATATTGTCAGTCTGGAGAGGGTAAATTAGAATATATAAAAAATTAATGTAGACTTCAGAGAACTCAACTATAATGTTCGAAGGGTCAACAGCTGTTTTGCCATGTATCTACAGTTGTACACTGTTTGCAGAATATTTTTCTTTCACAGTGTGAACTTTTATAAAGGGATATATTTCTTGAAATTATGGAAATTTTGCACGACCATAAGCCAGCTGCAAAAAGCATGTTTACTGCTTTACAGACTTAAAAATAGCCATGACACTCAATCATAACTAACTTAAGGGTCCTTACACTGTGAATAAGTCATCCTCTTGATAATGTTTACACTATTATATAACCTAACAGCAACCTGTTCCTGGTTTTCTCTTGAAGCGGAAGAATACCAGAAACTGGCTTTTCCAGCATCAGAGTTTGTCTTGAATGGATTGCTCCCTGAGGAAGAATTGAAACTGTGGGCACCTGTTCCAAGAATGGTTGAGTTTGTCTTCAATTCAGGTAGAAATGGCTGGAGTGAAGAAATGCTTGACAACTTTAGATGCCTTGCTTGGAGGTATTGCATTTTATGTGAAGAGCAATACGGAGCTAATGCATGTGTAATAAATCTACATAACTTGACACTTGCCTGAAGACATTCAGAGATTTTCAGCACCAGATAATTTCTGGTGTTTTGAATTTGAAAGGGCTGTGAAGAGGTATGTGCAGCAAAGTAGCAATAAAAAGCACATTGAAAAATCCTTTGCCCGCAGAGAAAGTCAAAGAGAATTCCTAAACTTTCAGCAAGACCTTAAGCTGATCTCATCTGAAAGGTGCAGATTTACTTGGGCTAAAGACAAGGAGAAGGTAATTGTAATAGACCAAAATTATGATAATAGAACCAATGCAAATACGGCCACTAGATTTAGTTTACATGAAATTTATCCTGACTATATGACCTTGCTTGAGGTTGATAGGACCAATTTGAATATAAACAAAGGATATTAATAAAACTAGTGGCCACTTTTGCATTGGGTAAATTACGTAGCAGATTACTTTTATGTTCAAGTTATATTGAAGCACTCACTAATTAAATGGTGGCACACTGACAGTCACCCAAGTATGAATGCTTATGCACAGACAATTGAGGAGAACGATTATATTATTTTTCATCACTGGGCATTAGAGAAGTTAACAGTTCTTTGCTGTGAAACATTGTAAGGATTGGTTGTTTCTAAATGCCTTTTGTTTTATCTTTGTTGTGAATAAGGTTTTCGTGGCTCAGTTCTATCTTTGTATAAAATTTTTTGGTATGATTTGCGTGTATATGTATTTTAGTTGTAGGTTAAAATAAATCCAGAGGTTAAAATGATTTTTCAAACTAGGGTGATTTGTCTTTTCCTTTGTTTAAGGATTTTGTATTTACATCTGGAACAAAGGAAAAATATACAAATCAACCTTAAGTTTGACATCAGTTTAACCTGGGATTCATTTTAAACTAAAACATATACAAAGGAATTAATTAAAGGATATTAAACCTGAAGTATAAAATAAAACCACATATTACACCTAATATCCATTTCAATTTGTTTGTAGTAATTCATGCCGACTTGGAATAACTGTCTTACTTGCCAAAATAGAATAATTTTATTACTTGTTATTTTGTAAGTGGACTATCTCCAGAATGCTTGCACGTACATGTATAATAAAAACAAGTGACACAGCAGTTGCAGTTTTTCTTCAGAATGCAGTGCAGAGTAGCTTTACAGTAGTTAGATGTAATTCCCTTTTTGATTGTGCTCATTGATTTAGGTAACTGCATCATCTTTGGAAGGAGCCAAGTACCTCATAAAAATTTGTTCTGGTGGCCCACTAGCTGACAAAGTGAATCAGGGAGTCTTGATTGTTGCTGGCCATTTCCACATGATGTCTCGTCAAGAGAGGCAAATGATTCTAGAATATTTACAGCATGTCACAGCAGATGATGTGGATGAAGCTGTTGAGTCCTTCCGCAGTGCATTTCTACCCATGCATTGCAAACCAATGGGTGGAAAGCTTTACAGAAAAGGCGATTTTGTTGCTGGAGTCCAAGCAGGGGCTGAAATTTTTTTCAAGATAGAGAACTTCTTCCTGGTTAAAGTTAACAATGACTATCAATCACTAGTTTTTGGTGACACTTTTCAATTGATTACTAATCCTGGTGGTGCTGTTTCAAGGCATCCTATTAGTGATACTGTTTATATTCAACCTGCACACTCTTGTGTCTGTGTAGGTCTAAATGATCTCAGACGAGAGATCATGTTGTTTCCGGAGACAGGTAACAAGTATGCAGTGGTAGATCCCTTCCGGAGAACTGTGAACCTCCCCAAGGTGATTGTACCTGTTTACCCTCAAGTTGGTGATTTTGTGTCTGTGATTGGTGATGATGAGGATGACCCATGGAGGGCACTAATAAGAGAAGTGAATTACCATAGATCAACGGTGGGAGGTTATTTCTATGTAAATCATCCCAATTTTGATGCTAACCACCTCTGGGTAAGAGAGAGGCCACAAAGGAAGGAGACTATTCATTTCAACAGTCTTTTGTCCATTGTGAATGGTGAATGGGTGGGTAATGCGTGGAGAGACACTTGAGAACTCTTACCACAATACCGAGACTTAATTCAGTTTTGTAAAGCAGGATATACAGTGTTGCTATAACCAAGCCTATATACATATGAAAACAGTCTTATTGATGTTTATCAGCACAGGAAAATGAGATATCCAGATTTGTGTTTTTTAAAGCAGGATATCTCAAAACCCATAATTAATAACCAAACCTGGAAAATAAAGAAAACAGATTGCTAAGTTTCACTTTGGTTTTGACCTAATCCGAGTTTGGATTTAGTAGAAATCCAGCACAGGAAAATAAGATATCCAGATTTGTGTTTTTTCAAAGCAGGATATCTCAAAACCCATAATTAATAACCACACCTGGAAAATAAAGAAAACAGATTGCTAAGTTTCATTTTGGTTTTGACCTAATCCGAGTTTGGATTTAGTAGAAATCCAGCACAGGAAAATGAGATAAACCCGGATTGGATTGGGTTGGATTTCTCAATACCCAGGGTGAAGCTGTTTCTTTTAATATCCAGGATAGGGAAAAAACAGTGATTTTTATTACCTCACAGAAAAACCACGAAAAAACCAGATTAAAACCAAACATGGTTATTATGGGAGGTTGGATTTTACAAAATCCATGTCAAAACCAAGTAAAAACTACATTGGATTTTTGGGTTTTTTTCCAGTGGTATGGAGCTACATGTAACTTTACCGAGATCATAAACTTGGGGCTGGTGAATTGCTTGGCAATCAACCCTTTCACACATCTTGACTTTGATGTTCACTTCAAGAAAAGGATTCATGATTGTTATTAACAATCCTTTCCCCTGCGATCCTGGATGGCATCTTGGTGGACGTAGGTGAGTGCCACACAAACGACAATTTTGATCTTGGGGAATAAACTCCTTGGGCCATCCACCACCTGTTCCTTTCCAAGTATTGCAATCACAATCACGGGCAGCATTTATAATATTAAGTGGGATATGGTATGGATACCAGCTGGCCAAATTTAACTTTACAGTAGAGGTCCTTGTGACAGAAGAGGTTGCTGAAGTTGAGCCAGTAGAGTTACGTTCAGAGGGAGAGGAGCCTGAGTTACTGGTACTGGAGGTGGCTGCAGTAGAATAGCTTGACGAAGCAGAATCAATTGGAATAATGTTCGAAGCACCACAGGTGGGTATAGTAGAGCTTGACACAGCAATGTTGGGTGGAGTGGAACTTGATAAGGGAGAAATAGATGCAGTTAAGTTTGAAGAGACAGGAATTGGTGGGTTGGAACTTGATGCAGCAGAAGGAAGAGCAGTAGTGGAGCTTGCAACAGAGGAGTTGAGAGTAGCAGTGGTGGGTAGTGTTGACGATTTCCACAAGCCAAGACAACGTGACAACAAATGAATGTGGAGACACACATAGCGGGACTTCAGTTGTTTACCACCAGTAATAGTACAGCAGTTCTTCACCACACATGAGAATGTGCCATTCACTTGCTTCAAATGGACAATGCCATTTTCAGCAAAGGTGTCCGGCATGCCACAAACAGCATAGCTGGTTTCGGATACTCTGATGACTTGAGGGACACCAAGCACCTTGGCATGATTGACTGCATCAAGCATTTTCCCATGGACATCACTACCCCCTGGATATTCAGAAACTTGCTGGGGAGATAAATGGTATTCTTTGACTGCAGCTACTGCATTTTTTACTTCATCAAGATGTTTACATGAGAATTTGTTCATCTCCTCCTGACCAGATGCTGGTGTAACTGAACGAAAGCTCTTGCATGAGCTGTAATAACAGAGTCTACTGGTGTCAGAAACAAGACAAAAACAACGGTCATCCCTACTGGTGACTTTCATGGAATATAGGTTGTTTCCACCAAATGTACATACTTTTACTGCACTTGGATTGTCCAGTTTTCTCCTTTTGCGGCTGACAGTTTCAGAAACGTACCTCCCACCAAGGAAAAAGTTGCACTGGTCACAATTCGGAGGTTTCCGAAAAGTTGAGTATGTGGCACTACAACTAGGACATTTGCCAGTCCCTCTGGCAGTCCATTTCTCCTTTACAGCAGACATCACCTACAATGCAGCGAAGATATAATCCAACAAACATTTTCACAAAAGTCGAGTCAGTACTGTTATCAGGATATTTTTCACATCCGCACAAAATTCCCACCTACGAGCGATGCACATATGGCCAAAGCTCTAAAATAAACCTTTCACTCGCAACAAGAATGTCAAATGGACTCTCTTAATTACCGATTACTCCTAGTTCCTTATCAGTTAACTTCAATTTATAAAGGTCAAGTAAATAATTCGGATGTTTTCATTCATCGGTGGTCATTTCAACGGACTATGAGCAATTTTAATACGCATCTTAATACGCATCTTCTAGCCGCAATGACTACTTAGTACAAGATCTTCGAGGCCAAGATGACACAGACACACAAACTCATAAGCATATTTAGAACACTTACTTTTTACACAACACAAGAGCAACCATAAATCATCCAGATTGAAGACTTACACACTTCCGCCCAGAAATGTCACGCGTGCGTGAGTGTGAGGTATCGGGGCTTGTGGTGAGCATATGCGGCGACTTACAATTGATGACGGTAGTGTAATTGTATTCGAACCAATGAAATGCTTTGCTACGCTTACTACGGCGTCTACCTGTTTAGCCAATGAGAGACTACGTTCAGCGAGGCACTGTTTTATTGCAGATTTTGTCCCTCTTTGGTACCACACTTCAAGTGCCAATCACGGCGACTTCTTGGACGTAAAGTAGCATTATTTTTAGTTATTAGTGACCTTGGAATGAAAAAGTTTTTTAAGTAAAAAAAAGCCACTTTGAATTTTCGTTTCAGTAGCACTTCAAACCAAGTTTCAAGACTTATTGTAGTTTCAAAACAACAACCATACAGTCTTCAGTTGTCTGAAGTGCTCGGGTCTTTTGCTTTTCCTCCATCTGTGTGGGGCAGGCACAGGTTTCATCAGCCTTTTAATAATATTTCTCTAATTTCGGCATAAGACCTTTCCCAAAATACTGAAATTGCCATTTACTAAAGTATTATATGAAGGCATGGGCTAATAATGACATGTGATATTCTCTGGCAAAATCAAACAATGTTTGAACGGACTAGCTTTGTGCTAAGAGGAAAAAAAACAGAAAAAATTCATGTAATTTCTTATCTCTAGACTCATGTGGGTGTGTGAGGCATATGGTGTGCCTCACATTGAAAAACCAATTTCAAGTAAAGAATCAGCAGTTTCGAATTCTATAAATAAAACCATCTTCATGACGAGCCTTTTCTACACTTTTCTTTTAGCAATATCTGTTAACTGAAGGTGCTTAAGTGTAGTTCAGCTATGTATGTATTATGTAGGCATCTCTAAGCAATCATCTATATTATTTGATTTCAGCTATCGCATGTAACACCACCTCACAAGACAGTAACAAAGACAGAGTAAGTTAAAAATATTGTTCGTTATTCAAATGATCAACAAATATGTGTGAAAAACCTAACGAAGGTTACTGTTAGGGTTGGTTTATATTTAAGCCAGAATTTCCTACATAAGATGACCACTCTTAAAAATCAAACATTTTAAAATCAACACTACAAAGCAGGATTTGAAACTGTACCAGATCTTTCATATACATCCAAAATCCCTAAACTCAAAAATTAACATGACATAAGCCACTGAGCCTCTTGTGCCCTTTAACAATGCAGACTTTCGTTTTAAACCACGATACCACAGATCATCATGATCAGGTATAACCATGTACTGTTGGATGATAAATTGAAATGGACAAGTGATGCTAAGAATCTATGAGGGAGTAACTCTGTTAAGAAAGGATTTTGTAGTTATATGCATGTGTATCTGTTCAGCTCTAACTGAAGTCAATAATAATAAGATCATGTTTGGTAATCAAGTGGGTATATGATAGACCATCATTATTAAACAAGGACAGAAACTCAAGTTCTAAACTACATAATAGGGAGATTTATCAACAATGGTGATGGCAACGAGAACGTCAAACAAGCAACAAGTTTACTGAACAAAACATTAAGTTTGCACCATGCGTCATGCTTTTTTGTACATTTTTTGGCCGTTACTGCACGACTAGGACATGAAAATGCCTACTTTCACATTGTATCGACGGCGTAAACAAGTGACGACCAAACTTTCTTTCTCTTTCTAAACTTGAGTACAGTCCTCAAGAAATCAACTACAGGGAAATTTGCCTACATTAGACATTTTCTGTGAGATAATGATCATTCTTGTTATAGAATCAAGGCACACTTGGTAAGGAGGGGAATCAACAAAGAAACGTTAGGATTATGGAAAAAGGTTTGGTGATAATTGCATGGCTCTACTTATTATTAGTAAGTAATTTACTGCAATTACTTCTGATGAAAAAAAAAAGACTTCTATTCAAATAAAAATGGTAACCAAGACAATTAATTTTTGTTCAAGAAATGATTTCCTCCTAACAGCATTCTTTACCAGACCCATCACAAGCCAGTTATGAAATTGCTACAAGTCGGGCATTTTTTTTTTCAACGAAAATAATGTCTTTTTACAGGGTTCGTAACCTTTTTTGAACAAAAAATTCAAGTACTTTTCAAGGACTTTCAAGGACACATTTCCCATTTTTCAAGGACTCCATTCAGTGCAAAAAAAGGACCTTGAGTCTACGTCTTTTTTAGTTCTTCCACAACATGAGTAATTTTATCCCTAAGGTCTTCGGTTTGCTCCTTTCTCTTTGGAGTTCTACTTAAACTATTTAAGTTAGGATTGAAATTCAAGGTCTTTCCAGCACCGACTGCCATTTTCAAGGAAATAAAAATTCAAGGAATTTCAAGGACTTTTAAGGTGCATGCGAACCCTGTTTTTATTGAGAGCGTCAATTCTTCAAACAAGTAGCTTATTAACAATACATTTGGCTTCATAAAATGGTAAAATAGCCTTCCTGTATACACCTATTTAAAAAAAGGTTGTCAGAGAGAACGGTGAATAGCAATTTTCAAATGG